TTTTCTTTCGCTAAAAATGACTGAGCATGACTAATGACTTCGTTTAGCGCATATAAAGTGTTTGGTTTCAGGTCCGGTTTCAGTATCAATTCTATTTGATCATGCTGAGCCATCTCCAGTGCTTATCGTATCAGATGTTTTTCCGCAAAAATTCACTCGTCTTCCCCGACACAGGAATTTTCGTCGAAAATATTTCCAACCACAAAAACTCACAAAAAAAATCCTTTTTGATCATAATTACGACCTTATCGCTTGTGTCTAAAATGTCGACAAATTTATTGAATCTCTATTTTCTTATTTACTATAGAGACAAAAGAAGAGAATAAACGCACACACACATAACTTTTTAACCGAAAAATTCCGTTGTGGGTTAATTCAAAACATTTTGTAGGCGTTGAATGTTAGCGTCTAATCCTTTTTAATAAATTCTCTATTGAAGAGCTACCATTAAGATCGACTATAATTATAAGCACGTTATAAAAAAGAATTTCATTTGGGTTTTTTCTCTCTTTAGCTCTCTCTCTCTCTCTCTCTCTCTCTCTCTCTCTCTCTGTGTGTGTGTGTGTATTTGTGTGTGTGGTGTTTTATGTGTTTCTTCTTCTCTCTGTAAGTTCATTCCACGAAATTTCAAATGGGTTAGAAAATGAGCGTGTCGACAAAGCGCCTCATTTGGATTCCGAGTGTCTTTCGTGTTCCTTTCGTCATCTTTTGTGGTTGCGTCTCTTCACTTGAAGGAAAGAAAAAAAACTAAAAAAGAAAGAGAAACACACTCATCACTTCTGAATGTTGAGACGATATTTCGACCATACAATCGTCTAACCAATTCATTTGTCGCTTCGTTTTTTCGACGAAATCTATTTGAAAGCATAATATGCATGTGCGATGCGTTCATGATCATTATCATCGTTGCTGAGCTCTCCAGAAAACCACATGGAAAATATAACCGTAATCAAAACGAACCAACACACACGAGAGAGAGAAAAACCACACATTCTTAAGTAAAACATACACGAAAAAAAACACTTCGACCAAATTGAACCAGAAATGAAAACCGAAGAAGAAAACACACACCGAAAAAGAAACTCATTTAAAAGCAGGCAAAAGTTGCACACAAAAAAGAAATCATGATAATTATATTTCACTATCAACATTAAATTTGATATGCGAGTGAACCATTTTATAAATATTTTCGGTGATAAAAAAAACAACACACCGAAGCAATCGGGTTCATTGAAACCGGTCATCATCGTCGAACTAATTCGATTTTCATTATAATTTTAATAATGTTAATCGATCGTTCGGTGGAGAACAGACACATACACACACACACACACACCCAAAAGAGTCAACGGCAGCAAGTTATAACCAAAGTCCAGTCGTGAATAGCAAGTGTTGACTGTATTTACAAAATAACTGTGTTGTTTCGTCGGAAAAGACACGGAAATTTTTTTTCGCCCATTCCACATCGAACATTAAACTTGATTCGCTGTAATCAAAAACAGATATCAAAACCGGGTATTCTTTTTATTAAGTGCGTCAGCCCATTTGCCAATACAATTATAAAGAAGAAGACACACACCCGAAAAAAAACGGCTGAATTCGGCGCGGTCATTGTGCGATTTTACGCACAGATTTGCCAAATAAGCGCAAAAATAAATAAATCTGGCCAATTTTTGGCACAAGTATGTTATGCATTCATACCGATTGCGATCAAACTCTGTTTCGTAGTTGTTCCGCCAAAATCTACGCCGAAAAAAAACACTCTTTCCTCAAATGTAAATACTAGAATAAAATATTTAAATGAAATTCAAATATTTATCGAGCTTTTTTTGTGTGTGCTCGCGCTTGTGAGAGATGTTCTTGTCATCTCAGCGACAAAAGCGACCATGCTGTCAAGAAAACAACAGAAGAATCGCTTCTTTTAAGCAAAGCAAAACTAAATTAAAATATCAACGGCAGCATTGATTGAGCACATTTTCAGATTTGTTTGAAAAAGCGGTTCAATGACATTACAACAAACTGATTTGGAGAAAAAGTTCGATGCGTTGTTTGAATTGAGTATGGTAGAGTGTATGTGATCAGCCACATAATGAGCAATCACATAAAATGTGTGAAATGGAAATGGGTCTCTTGAAAATCGGTGAAAAGTGAAGAAAATGATGGATTCGGAAGACGAAATCGAATCGAAATGGTGTTGAGACACCTCTTTTATAAACTGTTTACGAGATAAAAAAAAGCATTTGTATGCAAAGTCAATGTGTTGATCAAGATGAATATGATGCGGCGTATAAACACAAATACACACGGAGAGAGATAGACAGTCGAGAACTGTTGCTTTTACCGGTGGCTAATTTTATTTGTTTGATTTAACTACTGCGCTGTGTGTCTGTGTCGTTTATATCTTTTATTTTAAATTTATGTTTGAGATGAGATTAGATGATGAGCGCTCGCGTTTACGAAAAAGGGAAAACAAGTAGATGCGAGTAGCTCGAATCGAGTCGTTCTTGTTCATTAGACAAAACGAAAGCGCTAACGCAACCCGCGATTTGAATCTGAAATTAATTCTTAAACAATGGCATCAATTCGGTGAGATGTTGATGAGGTTAGTGACTTTTCAAGGTTGTGACTCATCGGTCGGTCGATCGATCGATCGATCGTTTGCTTTAGAATGGTATGATTGCCACTTGAAACGGCGGACGCCAGCGCACAGCATGTTGAATAAAAGATGGCTTTAAGCATCGAGCACACAATAGCTAACTAGCCGGTATTGAAACAAAAACACCGGCACGCTAGGTGCTAGAAATGGAAATGAAGAGGGTAAACGTCGAAATTAGAAGCCAATCGAAATTCCATGGATTTCATTTTATCCGGCCATTGGGGATGCAATGCGATCACGAATCGTTCTAATTATCCACGTTGAGTTTGCCAATGAACGAAGAAGGAAAAAATAAACGACACTGTTTAACATCCAGTACACTGCATCCAATCGGCGATGATTATTTTTGTGGTTCGAAGCCGTGTGTCTCGCTCTTTGTGCTCTCCATCCGACATCATTTTCATCTTGATAATCGCTTTGGTGCTGCAGGCCACTGCCAGCTAATTTCATACACTTTGCCACACAATCGCGCGAGACGACGACGACGACCGTTCGGAATCGTGGAAATACAGAAAATTATCGCACAAAAGAAAATCGTTTAAGAATCCAGTCAAGTCTGTTTCTGCCGCTACTTGCCCTATGCCTTATTTATTCATGCGTAATGCGTGTATAATGAATGCTTTTAACTCGTTGCTACTCGAAACAAAAAAATTAGTTTTTTTTTATCGCTTTAACTATTCTCCATTCGAGAGTTTCTCTCACTCTTCCATACAGAGAGCGACAGGTCTTTCTCTTCAGATCTCAAATCTCCGGCTCTTCATCGTGCTCGTTCTGTAGCTATCGTGCTACAAATAGTTTAAAATCACTGTTCTCGCATCCAAATCTCTCGTCTCATTATGGAAATGATGTGGTGTGTGCCCGGTGTAAATGTGTGTTTTCTTCATTATTTTTGATCATCGTCTCTAATATCGGGCCTGATATAATGGAAACAAAACACATAAATATACAGATTTTCGTTCAAACCATTTCCATCCGTTTATTATGCAGGCAACAAAATCGAAATGGACCGTCCGATACCATTAACGTAACAATCATAACAACAACAACAACAATAGCCCGGGCACTGTGATGCGATCGACAGCACAAAAGAAAGAAACATCAACTGTAAATAGTTTCACGTTAACGATATTATTTTCCATTGCATCTCATTTTGTGGCTGCGTCACTCTTTGGTTTTTGGTTCCGTGTGTGTGTGTGTGTGTCAGCCGAATAAAGAAAACTAAACTTGAGTTCAAGATTGGCTTTTTGTATCAGTCAATAAGTGTCAGAACAAGGTAATTTGACAGGCAACGTTGACTGGAAAACAAATAAAATTTGAATTGGTTCTTTCGTTCGTTGGGGCGATCGACTGAAGTGGAGTACCGTTTTACGAATAGAATAGAGGCCAAATCATATTTGAAATGCATAACATCAACGTGTGGCCGAGTACACGAATTCGATGTACTTAGAACATGTACATTGTACAGACCATTAAAAATGGGCTTCACGTCACCGAAGTGTTTGCTAGACACAAAATGCTACTTTGTTTTCAAATTGCACACCTTTAAATGACCACGGGCCTTGCTTCGTGTGCTCACTAAGCACTGCTTACGAGCACAAGTGTGAAGCAAACAAATTACATACACATTTCACTTGGTGATAGAATCACTTCTATCACCGAATTGATCACATTTTATTCTCTCTTTGTGAAGAAAAAAAAAACACAGAGAGAAAACGAAAAATGTTCGAATTTGAAAAACGACCCAGCATACTTCAAACTATTAATGTGAAGAAAGAAAGAAAAAAAACATGGTAGCAACAAATAGCAGAAAAGCACTGTGAATCGACAATTTGAGATAATAGACAAGACGTTTAGGAGAAAATAGAGGGAAAAAATCGAAAAAAAAGAAACAAGCATAGGAAACAATGTTTTTCATTCTTTGAGTGTGTTTTTTTTTTCTTCTGCTGTATGGCGCGAGCATTTTTTTTTCTCATTATTATGTATATTTTTCGGTGAAGAGCTTAAAGAGCACGTAAGTACGGTGAAAATTCCGTTTCATGTAAGCAAACATACATACACACAAATCGTTTGAGAGTTAAATAATAATCGTAAAAAGTAATTATTACATACGCACGTGTGAACAAAAGCCAATATGTGAAACGGCATATTGGCGTGCTCATCTAAAAATGAAACAGCAAGAGAGAGAATAACATAACGTCCATCCATAACGAGATCTCTCGACGACTAAACAAAACAAAATAACAAACTATACACTGTAATAAAGTGTGTGCGTTTGAAAACCGCATTTTAGTGAAATATGCTTACACATTTTTAAACAGTTTTCTGTCTTTTCTTCTCATTTCAGACGAGCCGCTCATATTTGAATAAATTTGATGTAAGTTTTTCCCAAATGCTTTTTATGCAATCTAATTTTTCGGTAAATCTTGAGCTGATGTTGCCGCTTGTGGCGCACAGTGCACGAGATCTACAACTTTCATACATTGAGTATTGTTTCATGTTGCAAACAGAAAATGATTGTATGTTTTTGTGTGTGCGAACGAAATGTGGCTCGTTTACAAAATCCTCCAAAGAGACATGTTTACTTTAAGCTTTTTGAATTAGGTTCCAATGTTTTTCTTTTCACTGACTGTCTCTCGTGCCACATAATATATGCGTACGCGTGATTGCGTTCAGTTTTTGGTTCTTCATTTCACAAATCATCATATTGTTTCGTAGCACGAACAGAAACACACACATACAAATTGCTCAAGACTCTTTCAAATCCAACGAACTCAGTTTCATTCAAATATTTGCTGAAGGCACTTTCAAGCTTTGTGTGTGTATGCACGAAACAAAGGCGAGTCGTTTCCCTGGATCCTTTTCCACTGAATTTAGTATCGATGATGTCGTAATTAATATAAATCTTAATCAAACCGTCTTTTATCCAGCCATTTTTTTTGTTATTAAGCCTGTCTAGTCGAAGAACAAATATCGCATAGCTTGCCGTGAAAGACTCAGCATGAGTTGGCAAAGATAAAGCGTATTTGCCAAAAAAGAGCAAAAGAATGAGGATCGCCTGTTGCCAGCCTCCATTGGCTTGTTCCGTGTTTGATATTCGAATCAACGACGCACGAATGGCGACGTACCATATCCGATTTCATTTTGCAAATTCTAGCGAGAGGGCTCCGATGCTGACAAATGATAACCGATGCTCTAAATTCAATGCCATACAGACATTTGATCGAATTCTTCGTGCATCTTTCGTTTGTTCACTTTTCGTGCGTCAAAAGATGATCCGTTCCATTATCTGTCTCTCGGCCAATGATCGAGTCCTTTTTTCAGCCCCATTGAAAAATATTTTCCTTGTTGAACAAAAAAACACGCTGTCACTTCACTCGAAACAACAACAACGAGAGAGAAAAAAAAATCGTGGCATCTGCGTTGAGTTCTCACAACAAACAGACAAATAAAAATAATTCGCATGATGCAACGGAGGAGATATGTGGTTTTTTGTAGTTCATTCTATTTTTGAAGAAAAAAGGTGTTTTTCCTTCCATTATGCATATCTTGATCATTCCTTTTTCGTCTCATTTTGCATTGTTGTTGATGCAGTTGATGAGTGCGAGTTGAAAAATGAAGAAGAAGAAATCGGCAATACAATGCTTAATCAAGCATTTCGGATGGTTGTCTATTCAGTTAGATGGCGAAGATCAAACATCATCGACCACCACATCACATCATCACCAATAATAATATAATGCACGATTCCTTTTGCGATGATGATACAAAGGTGTTTCAAGAGGTTGTCATAAAAGGGAATTTTGTGTGGAAGGAACTGTAACATGCCAACATAGTTGATGAACGTAACGAAGAAGAAAAAAAATCAAAACATAACAAGCATAGAGCCCCGATAGAAAACACAAACACACATACTTGAATATAATTTCAAATGTTCTGACACAAAACACCGAGAATGAACACAATAAAAGTGTATGACAGAGTGAAGTTGAAGTGGTCGTTGTTTGGCTTCACAATGCACAAGACAGAGAGAACGCCTGAAATGAAGACGAAGAGAAAAAAAAACGACATCGACGCAAGAAAAATGCCAACAACAATGCAGAAGAAAAAAAATATGCGAAATGAACAAAACGGCATACTGTTGTCTGATTATATGAGGTGTATAGTTGGTTGCGCGCTGCAACTTTTCCAAAAGTCGAGAGAACGAGAACCTTGACAAGCCAATATCGATCAAAAGCCCACCGATACACACACATAATAAACAGGATGTCGTATTATATTCCACATTTTATAATATAGTAATTTATTATGATTTCTGGTGTGTCGCTTTTTTTGTCAATCGTTCTCTCGTTTGGGTCTCCTTGCTGGCCAACTGTTTTTTTTTACTTCTTCTTCTGTATAATTTTTTTTTCTGCTTACTCTTTTATGATGTCCAGTTTTTTTTTTCATCTTCATGCGCCTTTTTTCACGCATCATCATAATTGCAATGCATGGCGAATGTACAAATGGATACAATGAATTTCGATGCCTTTGATGAATTCAACAATTTATTGTATTAATCGGTGAATTATACCCGATGAGTACGACGATCTGGGTTCATGCGCATACATTGTCATCGGTTGAGACAAAATGTAAACACATTGCATATGATTACAACGGTTGAATAAATGAATTCATCTACTGTATTTTCCGTTGAATACGACGAGTCTTTTGCATACGACAAACGGATAAAACGCACTTGAAAAGGTCGGTCAACAAAAGTTTTATATACGTGATCACATGGAATGAGCTGCCGAAATTTTTTGAAAAGACACTTTGAGATGTGAAACAAAACGAAAAAGATGAAATTGTTGTTTAATCACCACTTTGTTTGATAATAATAAGATGCGTATTGAAAGACACGGGAGAGAAAAAGCAAAAGGAGAGCCGAGAGAAAAGTTGAGATAGCTGAAGGTTACAGAAGAGAAAAAACGAAACGGTCGATATGACAATGACACAAACATAGTGTGTGTGTGTGTACGGTGTGTGTGCATTGAAAATTCACACTTTTCAAGATTTCTAAGTTTTGATTCAACACATTTAAACAAAAGCCACTGCGACTGAACAATGCACACCAACGACGAGGTGAAAGAACAAAGATAGTCGTTTGTTTCGACTTCTTGTTAAGTCTTTGGGCCCATTGCTTCTCGTTTTTTTCTATCTCTTCGTTCATTCTTCTCGGTCTCGGATATTTACTTCAATCAATTAAGCAACGAGAATTCTATTTTCTTTTGGTAGGTAAAAGGTGAAAACAAAACCGAAGAGAATTACCGAAAGAACAGAAGAAAAGAAAAACGCATGAAGGAAAAAATAGAACAACTTCTGAAAAGAGTCGCTTATTTTATTGACACTTCAGAAGAAGAGCCCAGATATACACTTGAAAATAAAGAAAAAGAAGAAGTGAATATGACACAAACAATACTCGAAGAAAAACGCACACACTCACAAAAGCGAGAGAGAGCGAGAGAGAGAGAGAGATAGAATGAAAAGACAAGAAATCTCTTCACTCGGAATGACCGGGCCAAAAGAATAAAAGGGAATAATAGTGGAAGATCACAAAATGATAAATTCTTTGATGATAATAAATAAAAAAGCGTACAAAATAGTAGATTAGGAAGAACATCACCATCAGTTTTGGTAAAAAAAGGACACAGATTATTTAATCGGGCAAGCAGGAAATTCTCGTAAGGTTGCAAAGAGTGCGCATCAGAAAGAGAATTCTTACATACACATACACACACACACACACACAAATACATGGACACAATCATGCATGTATTCGTTGCATCGCTTCCAACTGATGCACAAAACGGATTTCTCAGTAACGGGCACAAAGCGACGACACAACGATAAAGCGATATCGATAAATCAAGACAGTTTATTCAATTGTGTTACAACTACAATATAAACATCAAACACATTGCACCGATTATACTACCCGGCTAATGAATTTCTGTTTTCCGTCCTTCCCGAAAAAATAAACCCAAACACACAACCAAATTTATATATTTGACAACGCAAATACTAATAAAAATGGGCGAAGGACTTTGTTGTTCACGTAGACAGCGAGACACACAGAAAGAGATATGGTTTTGTGCAACTGCAGCTCTATGTTTAATGACACTGATTCACAATGAAATAAAGGCATAGAAGATTTATTTTCGTTGAATCAGGTTTCGATTTGGGTATGTGCGTCTGTCGCGCGCGCGCACAGGAGTTGTGTTTAGATGGAGCAAAAGAGATTGAACGAAGTTCAGTGTCCATACCATATCATCGCCGACTTATGAACAATAAACTATCGTATTAAAGGAGAATGATATCAAAATCTGAACAAAAATGCATTAAGAAAATTTTAATCACTACCTTTACCCTTTCACTGCTCCACGCTTTATTAATTTTTTTCTGGTTCCTTCGAGCCAAAAAAAAACGACCTGTAATAAATTCGTTTTTTTCCTCGTTCTTTATCTTTGGCTATAAAAACCAGAAATTGAAGGGAAAAAAATTAATTTATTTTTTTTCTGTTGTTGTTGTTCCTCTATTCGAGAGTCTCTTCAGCATCGTCATCGTCATTTAGTTGAGCTGTGTTTGTACGCTTGATCCAAAGATTTGTTGCGGAGAAGTGAAAAACGAATATCCAAATGAGAGAATTTTAAGGAAAAAAAAGAACGTTTTAAGTGCAACGTATTCCATGTGCGGTCGGCTTGAAATGGTCAAAACACGCATCTTATACACCTTCTCATCTGTCCCTCCTCCATTCCTTTCTCGTTCTCTCTCCAGCCTCAACTAACGATGACCGCAAACGTAATCAAACACCACACATCTAAGACTCATTTCTTGCATCGAACACTGAGACATCGCCTTCAATCAACTCTCCAGCAGCATTTAGAAAACCAAAAATCAAATTCATTAAATAATAACAGCTTTTCATTTGGAGTTTTTGATTTCGACGAACAATCTCTTTGCTTCGAAAATGAAAAAAAGAAAAGAAAACAAAACCGAACTGCCAACGAAAATATGATATTAAATTTTTTTTATTGTTTAATATATAAAATGTCTCTAGGGGTCTATAATTATTGTGATGCATTTTATTTTGGGCGAGGAAAAATTGGAATGATGAAAAAAATAACAAATAAATTGTTGTTTCACACTCATTTTCAAACGGCATCATTATTATCATGAATTGGACCATAGAATACAAAGGCCAATGTGGAAAAAGGAAAAGCTTCGTTCCTGCCCCGAAAAAATGATTGAGAAAAAAAACGATCGAAAGATGCATTCTGTCTTAAATTACGAATCAAGTCAAATCAAAAATGAAATGAGTGGTCGAGATATTGAGAA